ACCTTGTGTAAAGATATCTATTATTCATGTAGAATCCAGAACATGTCATTTTTTGGACTTTTTTTTTTGTAAAAGGGGGTTTCGAAATAATAACTTCTTTTGTAGAGTTTGAGATTTTTATGTAGTTATATATCCAAGGCATATTTTAAGCTATGATATGGTTCACTCTAAGTAAATCTCTTATTTGCATTTGTTAAATGAGTTTTTTTTATTATTTTATTATGCTGCTCAAACAATCGATGAGGCGGTTAGGTTTTTGCGGTATCTGTCCAGCTTGTGTTCGTCATCGGTTCATTATTGATCTAGAAAAACAAAATATTTCAGTATTTTATGTTATTAAGTATCAAAAAAAAAAAAAAAAGGCCTCTTGTACGAGAATGCGAGAAAGAACGACACTTTAGACAAATCTCCCCTGTAGCTATATACAGTCAATGTCATTAACGTTGTCCACCAAAAAAAGACATTTACACATTTAGACCAAAAAAAATATCACTTGTTTCCTCGAAGGTTCTGGCATAAAACAAATGCTGAAATACCATTCTCCATCTTAAATCCTCGCTAAGTGGTCAGGGCATTCTGGATTTTCGATTCACGAGTTGAATTTTACATTTAAAGTTCAGGCTGACGCACAAGAGTCAAAGAATACACAATGAAACACGTGATATATCTTTTAGTCTAAATGTGTAAATGTCTTTTTTCGGTGGACAACGTTAATGACATTGACTGCATGTAAAAGGAAAGCAAGAAGCATAATCCCAAGGAAATTCTTAGAATCTGGTTTCCATAAATATTATTTCCTACGGCTGGGTCGCGGGGATAAAAATTAACTGATTCAGCATCAGTAACAACAGCAGCAGCAGCAAAGATAGCAACATTGAGGATTATGTAACAACAAATGGTTTCCATACCGATGCAAAGGCCACATGATCTTGCACAAATCATAAATGCTGGAGCATCATCAGCACAAAGCTGGTCCTTTACATCTCCTTCGCTACATCTCGAGTGCCAATCTGTGCATGCTGGTAGAGAAAAACACAGGCGTTGATTTTTATTAGGCATATCAACTCACGTCACTTTAAGGAGGCTATTTGATCAAATAACTACAGCTCTTTCTCTTAAAGTGCTACTTGAATGAAAAGCGTTGAAAATTTAAATCGGCTGAAATTTGAATATAACTGGAATAATCTTCAAGGAGCTCATAAACACTGATTTCAAAATATTTTACAAAACAATCTTTAACCAGTGTTCCGAATTTTGAGCGGAATAAAATTTCGGAATATTTTCGTCCAGGTTGTAGAACTTTAACATTGTTCATTTCACAAGACTCGGTCTAATAGCAATAGCTATCTTTTTTTTTTTTTTTTTTTTTTATTTCCAGTGAAGTGTGTGTAATCAGAAATTATCAACTTTAAAGCAAACCTTTCCCACATGCTTCACATGTCACGCCGCAGTTCACCCGAGCATCCTCAGTGTGGCACTYGTCCTGTGACACAAATTGTTGGCACTTCTCGCGTGGGTACTTATCGGCACAGTTGTCTATAGGTATATATAACACAGTATATAGCAGAGTATAGGTATRTATAGCACAGTATAGGTATATCAACACATTTGACTATAGGTATGTATAGCACAGTATAGGTATATATAGCACAGTATAGGTGATATAGCACAGTATATGTATATCAGCACAGTTTACTATAGGTATATATAGCACATTATAAGAAATGTAAAACTGTCTACTGCACAGGAAATACTTCAATATTCCTTATCCTTCTAGCACACATGATTGCATGTACTTGTCATATATGTAGACTCTGATAAAATAAGACCGAGGGTTTACAAAAAGTTACATAAAAAAAAGAAAAGAAAAGAAAA